AGCGACCTGGGTGGATGAGGAGCACCATATCCATGATCACCCAGAGAGATTCTCCCACAGCTACCCAGCTGCTTGTAGTAAGGTCTGACTTGGTCGCTGTTACTGGGAGGTGGATTGGAACGGAGACGCCGTTATATCGGTGGCGTACAGGGGCATCAACAGGAGAGGAGACGGCGACGACGGCAGGTTTGGAAAGAACACGCAGTCCTGGAGCCTGGAGTGCTCCGACGTTAACTGCTACTCCGTTTGCCATGATAACGAAAAAACAGACATCGTTCTTCCTCACACCTTGTTTCACAGAGTAGCAGTGTATCTGGACTGGCCTGCTGGAACTCTGTCCTTCTACAGAGTCGCCTTAAACAAGCGCATCCATCTCCACACCTTCAACACTACTTTCACTGAACCCCTCTACCCTGGGTTTGGGTTGTGGTTCCTCTGCGGGTTTAGTTCCTCAGTGTCTCTGTGTGAGCTGTAAATGAAATATCATTTCCATTTTCATTCACAGATAACGTCGCTAGCTAGAAAGTAAATGTTGTTGCAGGGTGTGCTGTGGTGTAGGGTGATTAAAAATGTATTTGACAAATTTATAATTCACTTTCCAAATCAAACCTACGCCTGTGGCTGCTGTTGACAAACTGGTTTAATCTGCACAGGCCTTCTCAAACACTGTTTTTTTATGAAAGCAGATTCTGAATGGACTTTTTATTTTTTACTGTTAATAAAGTTATGTTGAAAATGTGGAAGGAAAAAGGCCACAAGGCAGCACTGCACCTTGTGCACACAAATCTTAAAGAATGTGAGTATTGTGTTCAAAAAAAGCAAACATGGATTGGAATTTAAAGTATTCTGTGAACACCAAGTATGCAATCATCCAGAGATTAACATTAGCAAAAGTGAAACGCAAACCTCAGCCAGTACTGAAGAAGTATTCTGATCCTTTGTTTAATGGCATAATAGGTACAATTTCCGCATTAACATGTCTAAAACCAACTAGATCTAGGTTAGGGACTCAGTACTTGGGTACATGAGCTACCCGAACACCTCACATGAATAAAAATTTGATAGTATTTTATTTGTTGTTTTTGTTCATAAATGTAGAATCTAAGACTAAACCCAGTTTGAACCTTTGGAAGAGTAGGTTAAAACTCTTGAGTAAGTATTTTGGGGCATTTTATTGCCTTTTTGTCAGACATTAGGCAAAGGTTGGAATCAAACTGCAGTAAGGACTCAGCCTTTGTACATTGGGCACACGCCCTACCAGGTGAGCTGCGAGGGCGCCGCAAGTCACTGAAACTTGATAAAGACAAAAGCTTTCATTACTAGATATGTTTAGGTTCATTTGAAATGGCCCCTATTTTTTTTCCTTTTTGGATATGATTATTTACTGGATGTATTTTTACTTTAATTGTTTTCTGTCAGTTTTATATTTGGTTTTTGCTCAACCTGGAGCAGAAGATTTTTGTTGAACAAGACATGAAAATGTGCTTTGTTTGTACTTGTCATATTCTCCATAAAGAAATACATCCTTTGATACATTACCTTGTCAGTGAACATGATTTCTGCCAGTCCCGTTAGATAGATTCATCTGCATCTACAAATGGTGTTTGTTTAAAAAATTAAGGCAAAAATTCCCATGATCCCACGTCACTTCACAATGTCATCAAACTACGTATATTATTAAAGGACACTGGTCCTTTAACAATAGACGTTGTTTGAGGATTTAGTGGGATCTAGTGGCGAAGTTGCAGATTCTCATTCCCAGTGAATAAAAAACAACAGTAAGAATGTTGGCTGGGAAACTCAAGAAAAATGTGAAAGGCTCTGTCTACAGCCAGTGTTTGGTTTGTCTGTTCTGGGCTACTGTAGAAACATGGTGGTTCAAATATTTAATCAAAAAAAAAAAAAAATCAACCCATGTCTATTTCAGGTTTAAATGAACACTCTGGTTAGTGTGGATAGTGGTTGATTGAAAAATAAGCACAAGTGGAAGTTTGTTGGAGCATTTCTTTGGCTTTGTCATTAAACATTTTAAGAAACTCAGATGACCTTTGAAAATGCCTTTGAGTTTTATCAAACAGTAGTATGTTAACTACTGAATTTGATATTGAGTCATCTGTGGTGATAATTCCACGATTTTAAAGGTGCTGAGTCTTTGGCTCTCGGAGACAAAAGAGTGAGTCATTACCATGCACAATGCTACTTTGTTACTTTTCCCGGCAAGCAACATACGAGGCTGAAAGCGGCTACCAAACGTGATTAAAGTAACACATTAAAGTGAAGATTTGGGGTGCTTTCACACCTGTAGTTCAGTTCAATTGGTCCAGGCAGAGGATAAAAAATTATAACATGGTTGCATTTTACTTCTAGGCCGGTTCATGTTCATACTAGCTTTTTACAAACACAATCTTTACCATGGTTACTAAATGATTGTATTGTTTGAACTGATCCATGCTTATGCCATTTATAATATTGCTTCCTGAACATTTCACGATCAGCAGATGGATTTATTATGTTAGCTTTTCAAATTGTGCTAAAATTCCATATCTGTTATCATGAGATCCTGTCACTGGTTCGTTACCTAACAAACTGCAACAAAAGTCCACTTGGCAGCAGACCAGGACCACTTCGATTGTTTGGTCCACACTGGGATTCAATTTGCAGCTTCCACACCAGCCCAAAGGATCCATACCAACTGAGGACGGTCAGAGTTTTTTTAACTGAAGCAGACAGGTTAGGTGTGAATGCACCCACCAGCTGAAACGTGTCCATAGCACAGAGCATCAGAAACTGTCAAACACTGAAAACTGGCTTTGAATGTCTGGTCAGATCGTGTTGACTTAGTCTTTGATCAGACAATTCCAGAAATTTGCCAACTTAACTTTTGTTAAATGACATAAAGTACTGTAGAAAAACATGTTTGACTCTCTCATAGTGAGGGACGACAAAAAGTTCTCCTTTTGGCATTGGTACAAAAGCTCAAGCATTCAGTCTCTCCAGGATTTCAGATGTTACTTGCGATTTCTTTTTGGTATAACAAATAAGAAATTGAAGGCAACTTGTTCCAGTGAGATTAAAATTGCATTGTTTGGAGTATCCGAGTAAGTTTACCAAATAGGCTCAGGATTACGAGCGTAACGCCTGCATCTTCAAGTGAGTTTGGTGAGGTTGGGCTCGTGGAGGGGCTGATATTGTATCAGCACTAGTACTGGACAGGCACTGGAATGCTGTGATTTTGCCTGCAGTCAAACATCAGTCCCAATCAGTTCTGCCTCTATTTCATAAGTGCAAGTAGAGCAATCTAGTCTGATCTGACTGTATTTGTAACATTATTCTCTTAGTATTTACACTACATAGATAGTAATGGCACTGATTCCGAGAAATAAACACGACCACCTTTTAGTATTCACTGTGGGAAAATATGATGTGTAATGGAAGAATCAGTTTGATCTTCTTACGTTAACTATGCAGTGAGTGCACAGTGGAACACTGGAAACAATAAGATCCATTTAGGAACCATTCACAGAATTTGAATAGTAATTACTGAGTTATACACCACTTAAACCTGCCTTTATCATTGACCGCAGTAGATATGTTGAACATGTCTACTTCAACTGTCTGCAACAAAACTATAGAATACATGGTGCTGATAATGCTAGCGACTTTCAAATTTATATGAACATGAAGTGGAAACCTTTACACTAGGTCCGGGTCCCTGCCGTGGCCGGCCAGTCATTGGCACCAAACAGTACCCAGAGCCTCCAACCACTTCAAAGCTTTTTTTCCCCTGAGATTTGCCTCAGTTATATTCCCATTTCTGCCAGATTCAAAATAAATGTGTGTTTTTCGCTCGTGGTGTGGCTCTTAAGACCCTCAGCTGGTCCGTTGACCATAGGTAGAACTGTGATAACTTAAGCTGTGCCCTGATATTTTATGCACCACTATAATCAGATCAAAATGTTTATTTTCCTAACACAAAGCAAGTGCAGGACCTGTTTTATACCTTATTTACCTGTGGTTTTAATTGTATTATCAGTTCCATCTATTTTACTTGGATATTACCAGTTTCCATAACTACTGCATTAATGGATTATAGTTAAAGCTATTGGAGCAATTGCAGGGGACGACTCCTGTTAGTACACAACATAAGGGCTAAGACTGATTTTGTTTAAGACTCAAGAATTGCTACTGTTGCAAAAGCTTTCAAAAAGGACCAGTGTGTAGGATTTAGTGGCATCTAGCAATGAGGTTGCAGATTGCAAGCAAATGAATACCCCTCCAATCACCCTCAAAGTGCGTAGGAGAAGCTATAGTGGCCTTCGGGTAACGTGCAAACATGAAAGGCGCTCTCTAGAGTCAGTGTTTGGTTTCTGTTCTGGGCTGCTGTAGAAACATGGTGAGGACCTGCTCCCTCTGTAGATAAAAGCTAATTCTAAGGTGATAAAAACACAACAATTCTTATTTTCAGGTGATTATACACTAATGAAAACATTATTCCGAATATTATATAGATCCCCCTGAATCCTACACACTGGTCCTTTAAGTTCTGGAAAGAGAAAGATCTCACCACAGTATTCAGGGCAGAGAGACTTTCTCTGGCTGAGACCGGAGCAGAAGAGTCGATGTCAGACAGTGAGAAAGGTGTTATTACTGGTTGGTCAACACACAGAAAAGACAGAACATGACACACAGTCTTCCTCGTACACTTTTCCATGATAAAAGTGGAGGCCACTATTGACTACAAAAAGCAATGACTCCATGACAAAAGGGACATGATTGCTATAGGCTAGCTACCACACGGTAAACATCTGGGTGTGTCACAGTCTATTTAACAAACTAGAGTGAACAAATTAAAGTACTACAACGCCTGATTCCAGGATGGTTTTGGAACATCGCCACCACATTTAATTTGCTCTCTTTTTTTCAGTTTGTTGTTTTTTGTGAAAGAAAAAACAAAATAAAGACAACAAAAAGGTTAATCCTACAAAGAGACATTTTTTTTTTTTATCAGCTCTCTTAAAACGTACTAACTCATAAATTCCAAATGAACCGAGTCCAACAGTTGCGACACTGGAAGCAATGCATACGCGTGTCAGTCTTTCTCTCCTTGACCAATAAAAGGGGGAAAGGGGCATCAGGTGCGTCGGGGAGTGGGGGCATGATATGTTGGAGGTCATACATAGTGAACAGACGAGGGGGGAGGCGACCCGTCTCCCGTGCCTCGACATTGAAGTCTCTTTGCGACAGTCACTCAGTCTCAAAGGAGGTTGGGAGGAGAGAGCAGGGGTAGGAAGCGAGGATGTAAACGAGGACGCTGCCAATCCAGCACAGTTTTTTTCCTCATTCCGGCAGCCAGCTGGCTGCCACCTGGGTCATTGGTCCTTACTGGTGTCTTCTAGAATCTTCCTCCTCCAACTGTGCCGGAGCAATCTGGCTCAAACAAATGACTGGCCGGGGAGGAGCTGCTGCAATGTCCTCTCAGCTTAAATAAAAAAAACTGGGTAAAGAGAACAGGCGATGGATTCCAGCAGAAGGTTTCAGGTTTATGGGACTGGCTTTAACAAAGACACAAAGATTTTGGCGTGTGTCCCACTGGTCAACTTCCGTGCTGGGTATCAAGAAAACACCAAGATCATCCACAAGTCCCTCATAGATTGGCGTCTCATGGGATTGCCTAAGGCCTCTGTATGCTTCAAAGTGCTCGTCAGATCTGCCAATTTTGTAACCTCTACAAATCCGACAAGCGCGCCTACTAAAAGCAGCAATTAGCTGACTGCACAGGTATGAAAGCAGGGTTCAAAGTTCTCTATAAAGCTATGTTTGTTTGTTTTTATTATTCACACAACTACGACTGTCACTTTTTGTCTGTACAACCAAGGACAACACCAAGAATGCTTTTACAGAGAGACTGAAAGTACTGTACGATTAAAGACTACACAAAGACACACATCAGTGAGGCAGTGGCTATGACAGATGTGGCCATTCAGAACAGCTATAAACACTTTTCCCTTTAGATGCGATCGTACGACGCACAGCTGAAGCATTCTGAGGCCTTAAAAAGTGAGAGAATTCTAACCTGTGGCAGCTCTAAACCGTCCAAGAGTTTAGGAAATATGCTTGTTCACCATCCAACCCACAGTGATGAAAAAGAGATATGTATTCAATTTCTAGTACAGAGAAATATCTCGGAGACAAAAGGTTAGCCTAGACAAAATACACCTTCCAACAACTCCTTTCATTAATTGGCTGTAAGAGGAGATAAAAAGAGTCACCTGGATTTTTGTTCACTTTGGACGGTGCTCAAACCTGGCAACCCCACTATGAGGACAGGATTTTTTGAGATGCTGCGTGCGGACACGGCACCCAGCTGAAAAAAAAGGCTCCAGCATAATGATCAGAAAACGCCTTGTTTTTACGATTTTATTTTTATATTTTTTTTTTTACATATTAAATCAACAATATATAAAGTTTAACTAAGGAGTTTTTGGGAGGTGTATATTTTAATTTCAGATACAAATAGGATAGCAGTTTTTGAGCCAAGCTAGGCTAACCACATCGTGGGTATGGGTGAGGTGTACAAGCATATTTAAAGCTGCTACTAGTCAATATTATTTAAAGTGACTATGAATCAAATGACTGTGTGAGATGTGAAAGGTGTCGCTCATGCTGAACCCACAGAGAAACATCACCAAACTCTGCAGCTGCTCTCAGCTCTACGTAGCTTTTTAGCGTCTTCCATTTTTGGTTCCATGGCCCACAAATTGATTGTTTTGGTTCGCTCCAAAAGCGCCTCTATCAACCTTGTTTCCACCAGCAACAGGCAGCTGTTTTCAGTGAAAAAGCTCTGATTAAAGCCACTGTAAACAGTCTGCCAGGCAACAAACAGATGGGAAAAGTTAGCGACTAGCTGGTGAACACAGTGGAGCATTTAGCAGCTGAAGAGCCAGATCTTCTTCTCAGGAGCTGAGACCAAAACAGAGTTTAGAGGAGAGTGAATATTGGAGTTAACATTTGTCTGGTGATCAGAATATTTCTCTATGTGGAAGATGAGTACATACCAGTTAGCCAGTATGTTCAGCATAACAAATGTATAAAGTGATGTATCAGTGCTGTGTTTGTTCTCGTGCCCCCCCGCTCCCAAGCAGTCAAAAATATCAATTCAAGCAGATTTAAAAATAGAGTATAAATATGGCATACAGCATATCACCATTTGCTGTGATGTAGCCTAATAGTCTAGCACGGTCAGCACTTCCAGTCAATGTAGTGTTTGCTGTAGTATTAGCAAAGGCGACTGGAAGCTGCAATCTACAGTGGACACACAGCTGATTATGGTGCTTGTTTATCTCGTTACTCAGCATGGAAGGTGACCAACGTGCCAGTCTCTCAAAATGTGATGCTCAGATGGATCCTAGCGGGACGCATCACACAACTGCTTTTAATTAGAACCACACGTCGGGTAATGAGCAGGGTCAGTTTGTCCAAGTCACAAAAAAAAAAAGCATATTTTCCACATACACCTTAGGGTGCCTAAGCATGTAGACAGCTTAAGTTTCTGATATAATTGCCTAAAACCAAAACGATCTGCATGACTAGACTATATTATTTGTGATTTGAAGGAACTGTTTAGTCTCTTAAGAAGTGCAGAGGGGCCTTGACGATTTTAATCAGATATGAAAAGCCAAGATGGCCGCCCAGAGATGAGTGTTGATGATAATCGTGTCCTATTGTAATAATGAAAAGCTTCAGTGTAGGTCCGGTAAAGAGGCGAGGAGGATTGTAGGTACGGACTGATGCTGGTATCTGGCAACGAGTTGATTCTCAGGGAAAGAAGGGTTTGAAGAAACACTTTGACATGACACAATAAAAAACGTAAACAGGAACGGGAAAGGAGGGATTGAGATACATGTTGGGGGGGAGGGGGGAAACCCGGGAAGGGGATAGATGCGGTGCATCTTGGATGTGCACTTGTTACAATCCCAATGGATCCAAGGGAGGGGGAGGGGGGTTTCTGTCTGTGAACAAGACAAGAGTCTGGACGGATATGAGAGCGTTCGACCGTTCATATAGTGAAGGACTAGAATGAGGGTGACGAACAAGAGGAGGAAGTGCCAGCACAGCACTGCTTTTGGTATATTGGTTTTGGCTGCGGTTGGTGGGTCAGTCAGGATTGAAGGGTGGAGGGGGCGGACTGAAGGGCGCCACTGGGAGGGATCGGGGGTCTCTTGTCATGCAGGGGCGGGGAGGACGAAGAGGTCTTTGCGAGGTCTTCGTCTTAACTGCCGTAATGCATGGTGTTGCTGGGGATGACCATAGGTGAGGCCATGGAGATGGCAGCGCCCCCCATGGTGAACTGGTTGGTGACGGGATAGTAAGTACCGCTGCTGCTGGGGCCTGACTGGCCCGTAGTGGCTCCTGGAAGGAAGGACAAAGCATTACGACCCACATTCCCACCGAAGACGCTTGCGTGGTAAATTTCTGTTTGTTTCTGTACGTATTGTTAGACACTGACAGGTGGACATACCCTGGACAATTCCTGTGCTCATGATGGAGCCCATCCTGGAGTGAGTGTGGTTTACAATGCCTGTGTTCACTGCGACCAAGCGGAGAGGAAAGCACAGTTAATGATATGTGCAGCAATGCGACAACCCTTAGCCTGTTGCCTCCTACCAAACACAAGGTAGCCCTGACACCACAGACATGATCTGTTCCATCAAAAGTTACTCACAATAGTACTACAAGCTGTAACTGGCAGCCATTTAGATGGCAGAGTCTAAAGAGTATCTAAAATACTTAATATATATTAATATATATTAATAATAATAATTAATTCTTGAATATACTTTACAAGAGTTAAGAAAATGCGTGAGGGCTTCTGCAGGTTTCAACAGGTTAGATTTAAGACCTTTTTAAGACCATTACGAATGCGATTCAAGACCTATTTTAAAAAGAAAAAGACATGAAGGAAAATCTGTATTGGTTCCACGTCTGTTTGGTTTTGTATTGTTACAGCATGATCAATACAAATTTATCCTAGGCACATATTAAAGCAAGACTTAAAAATGCAACTTTGTACAAGTGATGTTAACTCCATTACTCAAATACATTTTTAGGACCTTTAAAAATAATATTTTATATTTTAAAAAGGCCTAAAATTCAGATTACTAGATTTTAGACCAGATTTGTTAAGATCCCGAGAGTGCTTTTGCAATTGAAACATTTGAAAGAGCTGAAATACTGCCCAAGTCTAAGTGTGGAGGGAAGTATCAGCATGAACTGAAGCACTGAAAGGAGCTGAAATGTCAGTTGAAGAGAAAGGCATGCATGCAGTCAGAAGTCAGAATTGTTACTATGGAGATGATAAACTGTCTTGTCTAGTTGCATTGGTGTAAAGTGGCAGGTTTTCAGAATGTTCATAATATCAAGAACACGATCAACTACAGTTCCTCAAAGATATGACATTGATTGTTGAGAGTTGACTGGCAACATAAGCATTTACATTTACTAATCTGACACTCAACATCAAGTTAGAGGTTTGTCCCTCGATGGCTTTATAACATTTCACCAGCACCACATTATTTGCAATCAAACTCACAATCCTACAGTACGTTCACAGTCTTGTGATGGGGAAAATACTTAGTCAAGTCTTATTTTTTCCATGTTATACAGTGCCGCAGTGCTCACTAGAGACCAGAAGATGAAGATTTCTGTTCTAACATCAGTTGTTTTCAAGCATGCCTGCAACACCATGCTGCACTGCAGACTTTCTCTGTCACTCTCCTGTTTGTTCCCCACTAGATTAGGTTGACTGAGATGCTGAGGAGTCAGTGGTAGTTGTGATTCGTACCCAGGGGGATGAGGTTGTTGTGAGACACTGACGGGCCGCTGCCAATGACTGTACTGAGGTCATAAGCTGCAGGCATCCCTGGAGGGGAGAGACGGGAAACAAACCAATCAACATTTACTACAAAGACATATTCATCATGTTCAGCTTTCTCATCATATACCGGTCTCCTCAGTGCAGGGCCTGCTGACATGACTTGGGTCAACAGCAGCGTTAGTAGTGACAGGGAAACCGTTGCACATCCTACAGTGGAAGAAATTAAGAGGCAACCTCTGCACAAAAAACATAGAAACAAAGCACTTCTGCCTTTTACTCAGCGACCCATTATGATGGATCACAATATATTGGCAGCTGCATAATAGATGGATTCAGTATGAAGAAGTAAGTGTCACTTTTTATTTCAATCTATCATCTATTAAATATTATCATATTAATTAAATATTCTTTGGTGGTCTGAACAGATTAAAAATGTACAGTGTAAAGCGCAACAGACCCTAATTGGTACTTCAGCTTTGGGATTTTGTAAAATGTTCTTTAATTGTATAAAGCTTTACAGTGTTTGCAGTGAGGCAACAAGGCAAACACTGTAATTTATAATAAAACAGGATATACAAGCACTGCAGGAAAGTGTGCTTCAATATCCAGCCGATATTATGATTCATGTGCCTTTTGCTGCCTTGTTATGCCTCTGTCTGTCTCTGTAAACTGTAGATTGTGTGCAAAGTGTGGGATGTATACTATGTGGTTTAACTATATTTCCCAGTAACGTTTGTGTAGCGTTGGTGTTTAAGTCGATAAAACGAGGCGTGCACAGTTTTTTTGATGGTCTGGAGCAAAGAGAGCGGGACCTGCAGCTGACCTGTTCAGAGGGACTCGGGGCGGCTCTGCAGAGTTATCTCTTGATTTATTCTGCCAACCTCCTACTGCGGGTAGGGGTCCCATATTAATTTACTGATAATGCAGTCACCATGAATATAAAATAAAAGAAATAAATCTGACAGGAATTAGCATGATTTTAAACGCACAGATGACAGCTGTAGGAGTGCTGCTTTCTCTCTCCACAGCTCCAGTCTCCGACCACAGGTCAACACCCATCTTCAGTTTACACCAAGTACCTCTAAGGTCTCTGCTAATGGATCAAGTTGGTTGAAAAACAGATCCAAAAGTTCTTACCTGAAAATGCCCTTTCTTTCTGGTTTAAAAATCTATGTGATACATTAATGTATGAAACCAATTGGAAAATAAATCAATGTTCCCAGCTTCAAAATGTATAAAATTACATTATTATTACTCCACATGCCACCCCCCACCTCCGTCTCTGATACTTCCATGAAATTACTGAAATGACCCTTGAATGGGTGTATCATTCATTGTTTTCATATTCAGTATAGAATCCAAAATCGGACAATGTGTGTGCACTGGGACAGGAAGGGGGAATGGTTCAGAACTCGCCTGAGAAGATTTCTTCATAATCCAAGTAATTCAGTGCTAGATGTCAGTACATCCAATGGAACACAGCAAAATGAACGGCTAATAGTTCATTTGGCAAGCTTCATTTTCCAAATTGTAAACAAACACAGCTTACGTTGCTGCCCAGAGTCTAATTCGCTGCATCCACTGCAACATTATACTTCCTGTTTCTTGTTTATCTGTTGACACAAGGGACGACTTTTAAGGTGACATTTTCCAAAATATCATCAGCATTAAATCAGGCAGTGCCATCGCCCAAGTGGGTTTGCTGCAAAGTTAGGCTGACTTTAACATAAAAACAAAAGTACCAGTTATTTGTGCTGGATTCACAAATTCATAACTAAATAAGTTTTTCCATGTTCTGATCTTGGATTCTATACTCCGTATGGAAAGAACAGATGGTACACAGATTCCCTTGTAAACACATGGAGGCCATGTTGCATCTACCAGTGTTTATGTGTGTGTTCACCTGATACAGCCATCCCCTGACTCATGCTGTAGGCCGAACCCGTGTTCCACATGTTCTCGGATGGGGAGGTGTAGTGTGAGCCAGGAGGGGGATTTGGGGTGGAGCCTGTGTACCTGCAGATACAAACACACAACATTAGAGAGACAGACGGTGCTCCCCACCTCAACCATTCCACGTGGTGCCAACCGGGTCCAGGCATGCTAATAAGGGCCAAGACAGCAACTCACCTGAAAAAGGGGTTCTTCAAGTCCAGGAGATTGCTGGACTTTGATCCTGTCTGATCCACCTGGGCAACAATACTGATGTCGTAGCTTTGTCTGTTGGGAAGGAGATCGGATTTTAATTAACTGTGCTAACTAAAATAAGCTTTTTATTTCTTTTCTATTTCTTTAGTCTCTGAAGTCATCAATTAACGCTTAATACTCTTTGCCTTCAGCACGAATATTATTACTGAAGACCACAATATAAAGCCTCTGACTTGTACAAGTACACAGTGGACCACCATGCTACAGTGAAGTACGTTTAGAAGCATCATACCTCTTGTTGGCCACCAGCATCGCGGTGCCGGACAGCGTATCCCCAGCCTTGGTGAAGAGGGGAGACTGCAGCAGACAGCGCACCTGGTACCAGTGGGTGAGAGGCTCTGTGGGTGCTGTGGACAGCCACACTGTCATCCTGCAGAGAGGACGCAAGAGGAGTGCTGGTGTGAGGCTAAGACAACCTTGTCGGAATAAATAACGGCATTTCTTAACATTCGACGCGCTCCAAGTGGAGCTATCATCAGCGACTGGCTGACTTACACTGATCCCATAAACGCCACGTCAAACCAGAAAGCCAGGCCGTGCACCAGGCCTGAGTGCATCATGTGGAACTTAAAGGGAATCTCTATCCTGGGGCCAAAAAGAAAAAGCAGATATGTTAATTACACAAGCTATGTCACATAACAGCACATACAAACAAGCATTTGTGTACACAAACACACACACACACCTGTACAGATCCTCTTCTTTGGTCTCCAGGAAGTTGACTGTGTATTTGACCGACTTGGCCATCAGAATACGGATATCAAATGTGTCCTGTGGAGGGAGATCAGAGCTCATCATACAAAACTAATAACAACTTACACAACTCAAACAGTGTCCCCCAACCCGGGGAGAGCTGCTCTTTGATAGACCCAGCAGGCTGGTCTCATTACCCAGCATGCATTTGTTAAGTGATGGCCCACTCCCTTAGGTTAACATGAAAGAAATAAAAAAGCAGAATAATTCCACACATGAAGAAATGGCACAAGATGACTGTATGCATCTGAAACGTTTCATTCTGGTGCATATCTGCAAACACATTTTCATTCAGTAAGACTGCCGCAGTCCTTATTTACGCTGTCAGTCATTGACTTAACCGTTTGCAGTGTGCAGACATTTCTGTGTAAATGTGCACCACGTACCACAATTGGCTGACGGAAATACTCGTCCACTGCTGCCCCCCGCAGGGCAGACAGGTCTACGCCGTGGAAGGAGGGCTGGTACCTGAGGGCCAAACAGGAAAGTCACATTTAGACTGTTCATTTGTAGTTATCATTGTCATGTGTTGACCATGATATTTTCATCACTATCTGAGAATACTGATTTCAGATCCATACAACAAAATATATTGAAACAATCAAAGAAATGTTCTTAATTCAGAATCCTCTTAAAAAAAATGACATCATCAAGGTAACTAATTTGTTGTTTCCAACAGGAAACAAATAATTTTTCAATGTCAATCATAGAAACCAATTATTTTATAAATAAAGACAAGTTATTATACTCATGTGATTCCCATTTTAAAAACATCTGACCTGAGTACAGGAGTTTCACATTTTCACAAAATTCACAACAAACAGTAGTACCATGATATCCATCAAACTTTCCTGAAATACAGTAGAAATACTTACACCATATTTACACCTTGGAAGTACACCATTTTGTTTAACTCTGAAAAAGGCATGAAAATAAAATACAGAGCCCTAGCTTAATTTTCTGTGGTTTGGTTGTATTAAGTTTAGCCTTTGTTCATGCCACATGTGGTTTTAGTTAGCACCTACAGTTTCATAGCACCCAACACCCACACTTCACCACTGACTGCTGACTTTACCCATCATGCTTTGCTTGTGTTAAATGATTCTCTTACAGGTCCAGTTGTGTACATTTAGGCGGATTATTGGCGAAATGGATATATTCATAGTAGTTTTCATTTGTTAATCCTTTATAAGAATTTTTTGTTCTTGTTACTTGACATGAGCTGTTTTTGATCTACGAAATGCAGGTGGTTTCTGGAGTCGTGCCATGTTTCTACAGTAGCCCAGGAAGGACAAACCAAACTAGCTCTAGATAAGGCAGTTCATGTTTTTTTTGCACATGTTGCAGCCAGTTCTTCCTTAATCCTTAGGGAGGGTTAAGCGACAGAGTTGCGATCTGCAACTACACCACTAGATGCCACTAAATCCTACACACTGGTCCTTAAATAAATGACTTGCTTATTAACTGTTACTGTGTGGACTGAACAAGTCCAGAAAAATGTGCCATCAGTCTCAAATTAAACTTACAAGTGTTACACATACTGCCCGTGCTACAGTAGGTCACCTAGCTAATGTTAGCATAAGAAGTAAAACTAAACCAGTTTGAAATGTAACAGAGTAACTTCACTTTGTATTTGCTGTGTCAACATGAGGGGGCTATAAGATGTCAAATAAAGAGCTCACTGTGTAAGAATTCTTCAGTGGTGCCACTAACACCTAAACCCAACAGTTACAAGTGATAAACACCCATTCACCTCCACTGAAATTATACTACTGTACCTATGAACCAATGCTCAATCACAGAAGTACTGAAGCAAGAATTTATAAATGCATTTATACCGCACTCTGCTGAGCCACTGCCATCCTTAACAAGACAGATTCACAATTAAAGCATGTTCTGGTATTCATGGTATGTATTATCTGTAGGAGTTGTTATATTAAGAAGAGACTGCTGTATAACCTGTTTCAGTATTCAGAAAGACACCTGCCTATGCTTTTAAGAGTGTGTTCGTAGTATACCATTAGTGGAAACTATGAAACCCGTTTTGGCGGCCCCTCCATTCCCACCCTCCTTTGCAGCCTCTTCCCCTCCTCACCAGAAGTTGGCCTTGGTGAACTGCTCCATGTAGAGCTGCTCGTCTGTGAAGGGGGCCAGGTGGACGTCACCAATGGTTGGGAACATTTTACCTGAAACACATACACAGAGCGTGCAGTCAGCCATTTACAACCCAGAGCGACACTGTGGCCTGATCGTGCTGACCAACCAACTGATATCTGAGACTAACTGTGGACAGCTGTCAGAAGTGCTGTGCCAAAGGTTGTTTCTGCCACTCCTTCATGGTGCTCTTTAGCAGTTTTTCACCCTCCTTTCCACAATTTAAAAAACATTTCTTCTGTGCCCCACGCCTCCTCACCGTTGGGTTTGAGGAACTTCTTGGCATGCAGGTAGCTCTCCAGCATGCGCTCATTGAACAGCATGTATCCCATGGGCTCCGAGATGATGATGTCAACCTGCTCAGGCAGTGTCACCTCCTCTACCTTTCCCGGGATGACGACCACACGCTCCCCTAGGCGGTTACTGTTGACCAGCACCTGTTAAGGCACAGCACACGTTCACTAGGGCTGGAAATCCAGCTTCGGTTTAGTCAGAATGGAGTAACGCATCAATCAAAACATATTAGACTCAACTGACTAACTGATGATAGCAGTAATCTGTTTGTGTGTGTGTGTGTGTGTGTGTGTGTGTGTGGACCTCAGCGTGTTGTGCCATGGTGCTGGCCTCCACAGCGTAGACCTTCCTGGCCCCAGCCTGGGCTGCAAAGAAAGAGAGGATCCCTGAGCCACAACCAACATCCAGCACCACCTGGAGAAAAGAACAGGAAATATGTCGTCACCCCTCAGCCACAATTATTGGTATTTGTCCATCCAATTTTAAAGCACTGCATTGCTGAGTTCCACACCCCCGCGGTTACTGTTTTCTATGCCTATCCAGCTTTCTGTTCTCAGATGGCAAACATGCACTATACAGTGATTTGCAAGTTTTAGCTGCTCTGCAGCATCAGTTAATGTTGGTCATATTTTGGTCGGTTTGAAGTTTAAAAAGAAACAATATTATCAGCTGATCTTCTATGTCTGCCATCTGCCTAAACTGGTTTAAACTATTAGAAACTAACTTGTTTTGAGCATCAAGCTAGAGATTAGGACTGTTCTATGTAACTGTAAATCTAAAGCAAAGTCTAATTAAATGATAAACCTACCTTATCCTTGAAGTCGGTGTGGTTCTGGAGAATCGCCCGCTGGTAAGTGCCTGTCCGAACGTAGTCCTGCATCATGTTCTGTTGCTGGGAGAGGTAGCCATAAAACTGCAGAGACAAACATATGATGAAATACTGATGATTAATTTTTATTTATTTATTAAGTAAGATACAAAAATTTCAATATGTAAAATATAAGAATTACCCCGTTTTGCTGTAATAAATTAGGTCAAGGTGATCCTCAGATTTGCTGTTAATAGGCTTTTTTTGTGTCGAGTGGCAGGCTGCTGTCTGACAGCAGCGTCACTGACACCACATGCATAAAGGAGTGCACAGACCGGAATGTCTTTATGAAACCAACGTCAAGTAAACACTTGTTCCTTTCGAGTACTCTCTACTTTTCTATTTCATTTACACAGCAGATCTGTATTCTGTGCCAATACTTTATTTCAGTTCAGACTTTGTAATGATTCGCAGAGCTAAATTACAGCCGTTTTTTATTTTTAAAACAAAAATAATTCAAAAGGTTCCAAAATAATTTTCTTTAATGAATATTCCAATTGAAAGTTGTGTAACTATAAACAGCCATCCAAGAACAAAGTCAGCATGGTGGTAATTATTTAGGGACAACTGTTCTGTGTTTGAAAATGCAGTTTGGATTCAACCGGTCATTAAATAATTAAAAAAAAGAGAGACAAAAAATGAAACAATCACATATGAGAGAGCCTGAAGTCTGCTGAATATACTTCTCCTGTTTCACCAACCCTTTTTGAGAGCCCAAGAGAGCTGGGGTGGTGTGCTAGTGTGTGTGTGTGTGTGCGTGTGTGTGTGTGTTCCTCTTACCTGGAAGTACTGTACAGCAGAGGACTCCTCTGTTCTGTCACTGAATACAGAGCGCTCACTGCTATGCCCACGACTGTTCTTCAGGACATTATAAAAGGACTGAAAGTCTGAAGCAGAACATAAACACACAAACGTCAACAATTACAGATCAGACGTTACACTGGACCTTTCATTACACAAAAGACAACAATATATACGTACAGTGCAGGCAGAAAGTATTAGGACAGTTATGTTACAGGCAGTATCCTCAACAGTTGACGATCCATGTAGAAAACATTGAAATAAAGACACAGCATGGTTCTTGGACATTAGAACTAGTAACCGCTGGTGCTGGTAATAAAAATGTAGAACATTAGAACATCCATGTAATTCTAACATAACCCTGTTTGTCTGCTTAGTTTATGTACCTGTAGTATCTTTTAACATTACAAGAGGAAAGCGTTTTAGGATGAGGACTAAGTGATGTGTTTGACAAACAGAGCTGGCACTCTACTGAACAGTTCGAACCTCGTTTAGAACGGCGCCATTTGAATTCTAAATCAGGTTAGGACTCTAAAAACGTAGTGACCAGGTTAAATTGCCGTCTCCGCTTCGGCTGCATTCACACAGAAACACCTTCCAGCAGGGTTGTGCCGACTTCGCCACCTCTCATTCTTTCATTCTTTAGCTCGCTCGACCACCGCTGTTCTCGGGCCTATTTGGAATGGTGTGTTGTTTTTAGTGTCATGACTTCAATAGATCTTTAAAAAATTAAAAAAAGAGGTCTAAAGGCAGCATTATCTTAGGTAATGTTGCTGTGTCAACTTCCCTGATGTAATAAAGAGTGTGACGGAGCTGCTGCTAACGTTAGCCTGAACTATGATAGGACCAGGACCGGTGAGTGGGGAAATCTAGTGGATGGGCTAGTTGTGACTCTTTTAACGCATTTACTGTTTGAGTTTTGGGTAAAAAAATAAAAAAAAACAGAAACGAGTATCCAAACTCTTTATGTACGGAGTGTATGTGTAGTAATCTAAAGCTTGAGTGGTCACAATTGCTAAGCTATGATTGGGTGATTACTGTTCCGGGGGAGGGGTTAAGCAAGCGATCAATCAATCAATTGATTCATTGTAAAAGGGTGTGTGTGCATGTTAGTGTGGGCCGAGACTCATTACGCCTGCTCCACACTCCATACAAAGTGTACAGAGTGAGTGGGAAGCCCAGGCTCACTGCTTACATAACAAACTTTGGCATGTTGGCTCAGTCTGAGGTTACAAACAGAAAACAAAACCAAAGTGAGGCTGGAGCGGGGCATTTAAAAATGGCCACTGAGGAACACAGGCACGTATATACCTACATTCTAAACAGTTATATTAAATGACTTTTTTTTTTCCTCCTCCATGTTTGCCTATACACAAAATCACTTCTTCGTTTGTACTTGCACATTTGGCAACATTTCCACATAAAATGTTCTGGCAGACATTACAGTAGCAGAACTACTTTTTGGCTCTTGTATGGGCTGTGTGTGTTATTTATGCACAGCGTGTCAGTCTCATTGTGCCGGGGCGTTTGTGTGTACCTGCAGGTGAGGAGAACTGCAGCAGGACGCTGTTACAGCCCAGTGTGATGATGAATGACTGCTTCCCCACGCGGCTGCACTCCGTCTCCCTGGAAACGGAACACTTGAACACACTCGCCTCCTCTCCTGGAAAGAAAGGGAGAGGATGGGAAGTTAGGAAAACATGAGACATACTTGCATACAGCTATTAAAACGAGTGAAAGAAATATATATACACAGTGTCCCAAATGCTGCTTAAACTTTACTTTTTGTTTTTGATAGTTCGTGACAACATAGAACTGTCCTGGTCATAAAGCACTGAAGACGAGCTGTAAGTAAACACATTAGAATGAATCAGCAGCATGAAACAGCATTTTCAGTTTTGAAAATATCAGATTTTTTATTTTTTTTCATTTCGTATTAAACCAAAGAGATGGTTTTCTTCCTGGAAGTCATACGTTTGGTCTGACATTTCAATTCGAGTTCCACCACAACCCGCTGAATACAATGCAGCCTCAGCCCCTTTATCTCCCTCCACTGCTCGCTTGCTCACACACACACACACACACACCCACACACACACACACTTTGGAGGGATATCCACAAATGGAAAATGAACAGGAATCACTATACAACTATTAGGCTCGCAGATATTTATTTTATTAAATGTCCTGCAAAAGTCTAGGTGAGGTTTTTCCACAGACTTATGATATCTGTCTTCTCTGTTTTAGGATTTAGATTTGCATAGATTTACAGCGTGTCTACACAAAACAGCATGCTTCTAACCAAATTAGTTACAAGGCTAAATAGCTTTAGAGTTAAGGTACAGATGGTGCTCTTCTGTTTCTTATCGTTAGCAAATCCCATAAAAAGTCCAAAACCAACAATGTGTCAGCCCGTCTCTCAGTACTGTCTGACAGTCCTATCCTGTCTGTGGCTCCAAGCTCCAAACCCATTAGCTCCTACTGAAGATATAAATCTTAAAAACAGCTCACAAATATATAGTCTCATTTTTCAAAAAAGATTATTTCCTAAAACAGCGGGACACTGGTTTTTAGCAAATGTTACTAAATTAGGAGGAAATGGTGCATTTGTCGGGGACCATTTTCAGGGGCTGACTAATCCACATTTAGTGCTCTAGTGAGTATTTGGGGCA